TTCTGTGAGAGAATAGTTTCAAAGCAGCGGGTGATCAGTACCATTTCCGATCCTGTGGAAACGGAATTTGGGAGTTGGGAAGGAAACCTTCTTTTTTTCTGTTTGAACAGTGATCATTTTAAAACACCCGTCTTCCATTTTTGGCTCTTCGGTACCTGTTTCCATGGGGACAGGAGTGGAAGCTCACTTGTTATCACTTTTTGAATGGAAGAGAGTCAACAAATGCAAAACACCATTTCAGACAGGCAGCTGTGGTGTGGAGGGAAAAGTCACAGTGGGAGTCATTTTGCAGTTTTTAGTGCCTTTGTGGATGGAAACTGTACGTGAAAAAAGAATGAAAGCTCTGGAAACCAAAGAGAAAAAAAGTATTTGTGCAGAGTTGTGTTTTGTTGGGGAAAGGCATGGCACCCACAAGAACCCTACATGTCATCCTTTTATAGTAAATGGAGAGCTGTCTTTGTGCTCTGTGTAAACTGCAAGGGATTTGCTGGCGGTGTGCTCGTCCAGCACCCCAGGATTGAACAATCAATTGGATTGCCCCTGTTTTCCCCTTGTTTCTGTGGCTGTAGGTGACTAAAATGGGTAGCAGACCCTCCAAGTGTCCCTGTTTTCCAGGGACAGTCTCGGATTTACAGAAGCCGTCCCAGTTTCTGATTTGATCCCAGAATGTCCTACTTTCCCTTAGGACACCCCTATTTTTATCGGAGAAATGTTGGAGGGTATGGAATAAGGCGTCACTATTTTCATCGGAGAAATGTTGGAGGGTATGCAGTAGCAACTAGCAGATACCAGCTGGAAGCACAGCAGGGATTTTGTGCAATAAGTAGATAGGCAAGGAACGGTGTGTGAGAAGCGCCCCCTTCTCCAGGCAAGTGTGACGTTAACCTATGAGAGTGCTGGAGGTGAAATAGTTAAACAGGTTACCCAATCAGAACCCAGGGGGTGGAGTCAGAGGGACTATAAAAACAGTTCTGGGAGGGGTGAAGGGAGGAGTTTGTTGGGAGTTGGGTGGTTGGTTGGAGTGCGAGTGAATTGGGATAGAGTCTGTGGGGAGTTTGAGTTAGTGTAGCGAAATAAGCTGAGTCAGGAATAGTTAGGGGCTAGGAAGACAAGTAAATATCTGAGAGGTGGTTTAGTGAGTGAGAGCAGGTAGCGGAAGTTATGGGTCTGGATAGGCACCTCATGGCTGTAATTGACTGATACCGTTTATGAAACCACACACTTGTTAATAAATAAACAGAAGTTTATGTTCCAATTTAACCCTGACTGGACTCTGTATTGTACCCGGTAGGGCCTGGGTGGTGGCAGCGGGAAATAAAGTGGTGGCACAGGGATCAATAGACGGTGAAACGTCCAGGGACCCTGTGTGATCACCACAGCAAGTATGTAAGATTTGCGTGTATAACGTCCAGAGGTTTGGTTTCGGCCTGAATCTCAGTGTGGGCGGCCTTTGCAATGCCTCTCAGAGCCCTTTTCTCTTCCCCTCCCTCCTTCCCTCTCACAATAACACTGCACAGAGTGAATCCTTTGGCAGTCATGCTGGCTTAGAATAGGAAAGTAAATATACAACTGGATAGGAGATGATGTCAGCATCTCGGCTAGGCCAGGCCACAGTGCACAATCTGTGTGCACATGCATTTTGAAGCGGGAGGGAGGCTGGCTTTGAACCCAAGAGAGCCAGCTGTGCCTGCCGCACTATTCCCAGTTTCTGGGTCAGGACTGGAGAAAGAAATTATCTTTTGGATCTTTCCTTGCTGCAGCTGTCAGACAAAGGTCTGGGCTTCCTGAGAGAGCTGTGAAACGACAGCTTTCAGGGGGATAGGAAAGTGATTTTCAAAGCAGAAAATAGCAAGGAGTCGGGGGGAGGGTTGAACCTTTGCTTTTTTTAAAAAAAAGATGATTTTAATTCCTCTTCCCCTTTCCAAGTCATATGTAACTAGCTGAGCAATTTGAGAAGAAATATGCAGAAGACGACATGCCCAGTGTTATCCTTGTTGGGTTCTCACATAGTGGGGAGCCAAGGCTAATATAATACTCTACGAATGCCTACTGCCCAAGTGCCCAGGAAAAAAATGGGACATCCCGTTTTTTCATGTGAGAACGCAGAGGCCATTTTGGGTGCCGCCATCTTTTGCGCTCTCGCACAGTACTCTCACCCTGAAAAAGCACTTTTGTGGAGCCTGTGACCTTGCACAGAGCTGAAAAAAACCACACATTTTGGGGTGCCGTGCAAGATCTCACCATGAAAAAAATGCTTTTTGGGTTGAGAGTGTGGTGAAGGTCACGTGACTCGCCTGGGAGCACATCCTGGAAGATGTGTGTCCCAGTTTTTGCTCCGGAAAAGTTGGGCAGTATGCAAATGAAAGAGAAAGAGATCAGTCTTGAATAAACACTTCATTTCAACTAAATTTGCAGCTGGGGCAGGGATGGGGAATGGGGCAGGGATGGGGAACCCCAGGAATGAGGCTCAAATGCCCCCCTCTCTCTGGCCTTCAGGACTGTCCCCAGGCCACATGTCCTCTCAAGCCACACTCCTCCACAGCCCTGCTTTGCACCCTCTCAAGGAAGCATATTTCAACTGAGTCAAGACTATTGGTCCATCTAGCTCTGTATTGTCTACACTGGCTGTCAGCAGCTCTCCAGGATTTCAGGTAGGGATCTTTCCATGGATCGAACCTGCATGCAGGGCAGATGCTTTCCCACTGAACCAGGTAGAGACCATTGATGGACCCAGTATAAGGCAGGTTCCCATGTTTATTCTGAATAATGCTTTCATTTTCTTCTTGCATTAATGTAACGTCTTACTAGAGGCAGGCCAACCCTCTCCCCCATCACACACACACAAAAATTCTCCTGCTTCAGCATCTCTGTATTCCTGTATGATGAGTAGACTTTCAATGTACCTTCCTTGCCTAAGCATGTTACATAAGAAACCCATAATATGGAACTGCAATGTAAACTGTCTGGATTAGAGTGCAGTACAAACTGTCTAGCTAACGGACAAAAAGAACTTTGCAGCCTAGGATTATTCTCCATTTTCACTGGAGTGGAGGAGACGGCTCTCCTCTTTCGACACACGGGGAAATTTGTATTGTTGCTTTTTTCTTTTTTTAAAAAAGAAATACATTTAAAAAATCAGGAGTTTGAAAGGAGTGGGGTGCATCTAGAACATGGGTAGGCAAACTAAGGCCCGGGGCCCAGATCCGGCCCAATCGCCTTCTCAATCCAGCCTGCGGATGGTCCGGGAATCAGCATGTTTTTACATGAATAGAATGTGTCCTTTTATTTAAAATGCATCTCTGGGTTATTTGTGGGGCATAGGAATTCATTCATTTCCCCCTACTCAAATATAGTCCGGCCCCCGACAAGGTCTGGAGGACAGTGGACCGGCCCCCTGCTGAAAAAGTTTGCTGACCCCTGATCTAGAATGTTGGTAAAGGTGCGCCTGGAACAATCTGCCTATTCTGGGAAAAGCCAAAGGCAGTTTGGGATAAGCCAGAGACTCAGCCAGCTAGTATTCTGGGCCTGCCTGGACTGAAAAAATCAGGGCAATTGTTGAGCACCTGGCAGAAGAGTGCTGCACTCAGCTTGGTTTGTATCAGAAGGATGGAGCTGCTTTCAGTTGAGTGCTTTCGGCTGGCTGGGATGTGTCCTAATGCCTCAGACTTGGATGAAAGCAGAAAAGTGTGTGCAGAAATCTCTTAAGTTCTGAATGACTGGAATAGTTTCTCAATTGAAAATAGGGATGCCCTATTCCATCATAATCATTAATAATGATAATAATACCCTGTCTGTCTGACTGGGTTGCTCCAGTTACTTGGGGTGACTTTCAGCACATATAAAAACTTTATAACATTGCAGTGGTACCTCAGGTTAAGAACTTAATTCGTTCTGGAGGTCCGTTCTTAACCTGAAACTGCTCTCATTAGCTAATGGGGCCCTCCCGCTGCCGCCGTGCCGCCGCAGGATTTCTGTTCTCATCCTGAAGCAAAGTTCTTAACCCGAGGTACTATTTCTGGGTTAGTGGAGTCTGTAACCTGAAGCGTCTGTAATCTGAAGCGTCTGTAACCTGAGGTACCACTGTATACAGGGCTGCCTCCAGATGGCACAGGGGTCACATAACTCCATACCCTCATTTCTCCGATGAAAATAGGGATTTCCTAAGGAAATGCGGGACATTCCGGGGTCAAATCAGAAACCAGGACAGCTTCTGTAAATCCAGGACTGTCCCTGGAAAACAGAGACACTGGGAGGGGCTGCTACTGTAAGAGTGACATACAAAGCCTCTGAACCTGCCTGGCACTGGCTTAAAACATATCTCCCACCTGTGTCAAAGCATTTGCCTTGCAACACTTGATTTTTTGGGGGATTTTTTTTTTTTAAAAAACATATATATAGCTGGCACTGAATCAGGATCATAGTGTGGAGGGAGGAGGGATTTAATCCTTTGCCTCCACCATTGTCCCAGCTGGAATCAGGCCCCCTCCCACCCTGCTTGTCAGTGGGTGTCAATGCAAAATTTTCTTGTTACTTGTTAAGTGCTAATTGTTGCTGGGGCTGCTTTGAATCCACTGCAAGGATGAAGAACTGCTCAGATCAATAGATATATGGCAAAGCTTGAGTCATTGTCAAGTTGCATGCTTGTTCCAAATGAAGTGGGAAGTACATTTCTTGTTTGGTTTTTTTAATTAAAAAAGTTCTTGCATTGCATTTTCTTTACATTGATACATATACCATCATATGTATAGGATGCTTGACTTATACTGAGCCAGACCATTGGTTCATGTATCTCAGTATTGTCTACACCAGGGTTTTTCAAACTTGTTTCTCCAGCTTTTGGACTACAACTCCCATCATCCCGAGCTAGCAGCACCACTGGTCAAGGATGATGGTAACTGTAGTTTCAAAGCAGCTGGAGAGCCAAGTTTGGGAAATCCTGGTCTACAATGACCAGAAGCAACTCTCCGAGGGTTCGGGCTGTAGCGTTTTCCATCACTACCTTGAGATGCCAGGAACTGAACCTGGGACATTATGTTTACAAAGCCTTTGCTCTACCTCTGAGCTACAGCTCTTCCCCAAAGCTACATCTACCGTTACTGTTGTACTGTATAACACCAGTGGGTTGGAGAGATATTAAGAATGGCTTTGCTGGATCAGCCTAAGGTCAATCTAGTCCAGCAATCTGCTCCCAACAGCTGCCAGCCAAATATCTTGGGGAAATAAGTCCACAAGCAGGGCACTGAAGGTGACAGACTTCTCCTCTTCTTTGTCTTCAGCAGCTGTGATTTTTTTAAAAAAACAAAACAAAACCAAAAAACAAAACTTCAGCACTTGCATCATTGTCAAAACAAGCAGAGTATTATGAAAATCACAGGCCTTAAGCCAGGCCCCTTTAGCTGATAGAGGAAAATTAGTATACTGTCCCAGTGCTGTATTGTGTAATTCAGTTTTTGTGGCAGTGGCCATTGCAGCCTGGCCTGGCTGCGGGGGGAGGGAGGCAAAATTCCTTCCCGTGTGACCGACCGACAGCATCATCAGCCCCAGCTAGCCGCAGGGACTGTCAGGACTTTTCCACAAGCTGAATTTAAACAAGCCAATCATAGCCAACTAAGAAGGCTGGAACTGGGAGATGGACCTGGATGGAGCCTGGCTTTACTCAGGTCTACCTCCAACTTACTTAAACCTTGGAGTCAGCAGCTAACAGGCCATAGGACTCCCCAAATGGCGCCCTGTAGCGATTGTCCTATTTGCGCCATGCGGGGATCATTATTCCAGGATCAACCCTGATGAAGTGATTAGCCAGCAATCAGACTGTTTGATTCAGAATACTTACCCAATGCCTATGCCAAAGCCTACTTACATCTGTAATCAGTAAAGTTGTGGCCATTTCGACCCCAAGATGTTATGTCATTTTTGTTGCTTTCTCCCGGTGGCCTCGGGCTCACTGTGCCTTGGCCCGTAAAGAACAATGGAATATGCTGTCACAAGAGTATATTTTCCAGTACGCCTTGTGAGAGCATATTCCATAATTATTTGATTGGATTGATCCAATCTTCAGAGGTGTTTTCACCCCACCCCTCAGAGTGCTGAATTACAGTCCACAGCACAGAACTGTCCAAGTTTTATCCTACCTTAAAACTGAACTGAATGGGATTTGGAGTTTGTGGACTTCAGGGAATATGTGCAGTACGGAGAAGGTGGTTTTCAACTGCGACCATTAATTTCAGGAAATGGCCTTGGGGATAGTTTTCATTTGAGTCTGAGACCGCTTGGCTCTGTTGGCTCATTTGCTATGGCGAAGTTGCCATGACGGCAACACACATCTCGGCTCCGTGACACCTTTGTCCTGAAAAAACCTGCAGCAAAGCACACTCTTTTAGACAGAGAGGACTTAGCCGCTTTGTGACTGAAAGGAGTTGTCTGGAACCCTGCTTATCGCTTGCTGGGAGGTAGGGAATGAATCATCCAGACGGTGTGCTTTGAACATCAGGTTCTGCAACTGGGTGACATGGCTGAGTTGCAGCAGGATGATACCCTCTGATATCTGTAAACATCAAATGCCAGGCAGGGGTGATAAGCTTGACGGCACAGCTTGTCCTTTCAGCACGTGTTTGCACTGCGTGGCACATTCACAGTGTAATGGATAATTCACACCTCCAGCTTCTCCACCTCGGAGTGGATTTCATGACACTCAGAAGAGTAACACAGCCTATTTTTTTGCACATAAAAGAATTAACTGCACAAGACAGGCACCGGTTCTAGGTTTGAAGAGACCCTGGGCAAAGTGTCCTCTGCCAGTGTGTCCTTGCAGGCTTACCTGGCTGTGGTGGCAGTGCTCTAAGAAGCATTGGGTGCCAGCACAGAGATGAACAGTAGGGGGAGCCAGAGCCAATGATGGACATAGTTACTTATTGTCGTGGCTCGGGGCTCATGTAACTCCATACCTTCCAACATTTCTCCAATGAAAACAGCGATGTCCTACCATATCCACCAACATTTCTCTGATGAAAGTAGGGACGTACTATGGAAAAGCGGGACATTCTGGGATCAAATCTGAAACCGGGACGGCTCTGTAAATCCGGGACTGTCCCTGGAGAATAGGGAGCATTGGAGGGTCTGTTCTACCACCTAATAATAATAATAATAAAATTTTATTTATATCCCACCCTCCCCAGCTGAAGCCGGGCTCAGAGGCTTCTATCATTCCATTCTGCTGAATGTGTGTTGTTGTTGTTTAGTCGTTTAGTCGTGTCCGACTCTTCGTGAACCCATGGACCAGAGCATGCCAGGCACTACTGTCTTCCACTGCCTCCCGCAGTTTGGTCAAACTCATGCTGGTAGCTTCGAGAACACTGTCCAACCATCTCATCCTCTGTCGTCCCCTTCTCCTTGTGCCCTCCATCTTTCCCAACATCAGGGTCTTTTCCAGGGAGTCTTCTCTTCTCATGAGGTGGCCAAAGTATTGGAACCTCAGCTTCAGGATCTGTCCTTCCAGTGAGCACTCAGGGCTGATTTCCTTAAGAATGGATCATGGATCACTGCCTTGCCGTGGTGAAGGGGCTTGAATAACTCAGAGAAGCTATGAACTATGCCATGCAGAGTCACCCAATATGGAAATGTCATAGTGGAGAGTTTTGACCAAACGTGATCCACCTGGAGCAGGAACCGGCAAGCCACTCCAGTATCCCTGCCAAGAAAACTCCACGGACAAAGACAACAGGCTGAATGTGTAGACCCATCTTTAAGCTACTGGGCAAGGCCCAGTCTATTGAGAAGGTCATTGCTCAGTGGCAGAGCAACTGCTTTGCATGCAAAAGGACCCAGGTTCAATCTCCAGGGTTCCCAGGTAGGGTTGGGAGGGACTCCTGTCTGAAAACCTGCTGCCAACTCACTATAGGAAATACTGGGCTGGAAGGACAAATGGGTCCGATTCAGATTGTAGGCCATTACAGTTCAGTTATTATAATATATCATCTCTTCCCCTTTGCTTGGTGTCTGTCTGTGTGGGGTGGGGTGGGGGGGGGCGAAATAATAATATATACTTTCTTTCAGAACGATAGTGGAAAATTGGCAGCCTGTCAGCAATTTTTGCTGAGGGCCGACCATTTCAAGATATCGAAACCTGAAGTTTGAGGCAAAATTACTCTGCCAGAAATAATAAAAGAGACGTTGTAATGAGACTTTAATTTTTATTGAGGCCTAGCAGCTGCTGATTTCTGCGGAGTGCGATGACGTCTTTATGGTATATTTTATGATGAGTGGATGATGGCTATCTACCGCTTTGCACATATTATGGTTAAAAATGGCTTTATAGGAACCTGACTTTGAGGCTGCATTGGCTTCACGACAACTCTTGAAATTCCGCAGTGCCTTGATTTTGATTGTAAAAGAAGCTGAACAAACTGCATTAGAAGTTTAAAGCCTTTACTCTTAAATTGGTTTAAAAATAAACCCTGAACATTTTGAGATTTGGAAGTAAATTGATCTTGAAAATGTCATCGGGCTGATGCCAAGAAAGGTCCGAAACATTGGGGGGGGGGGGAACAATTCAAGAAAAATAATTTTAATATGTTAAATATAGGTTCCATATATCACAACTGTGAGTGTATTGCAAATAGGTAGTTAGGTTTGTTCCTTCAAAGTTTTCTCCAAGTCATACATACATTTGTTTTTCAGGTTTCTGAGCAAATGGAATAAACAGTTTATTGAATAATTGCAGTGGTACCTCTGAATGCAAATGGGATCTGTTCCGGAGCCCCATTCGCATCCCGAAGCGAATGCAACCCTCGTCTGTGCGGGTCGCGATTCGCCACTTCCGCGCATGCATGTGACGTCATTTTGAGCGTCAGCGCAAGCACGAGTGGCAAAACCCGGAAGTAATGCGCTCCGTTACTTCCGGGTTGCCAAGGAGCGTAACCTGAAAACGCTCAACCTGAAGCACATTTAACCCAAAGTACGACTGTATTAAGATTATAATTATTCATAAAGGAAACAGTTTATAAGAAGTAAATAAGGAGGCCAGATACAGGATAATGAAAGTCTTTTATTTGGTTGTTTGTATTGTTGTATGTTATGCTCACTGTATGTTATGTTCACATTTAATGAGGGTGGATTTGTGTATTGGGGGGTGGGGCATTTATGTTGCAAGTAAGTAAGTAAGTAAGTAAGTAAGTAAGTAAGTAAATAGTTTATTGAGGTGCTCCCCTTTCCTCCTGCCACCTTTCGAAAAGAACTTCCAGGGTTTCTTTCAGAGGGGGTGCATTTGTTGTTAGTGGGAGCCCTTTTCCTGAGTGGGCACACCTGCCCCTGAATGAATTCAGTGTCTGAGCATGTGGCTGAAGTGAGGATTTTGTTGACGGTGCGATATGCAGTTGGGTTGCATCTAATGATGTGGAGATTTCCGCCTGTGCAATGGATCTTCCCCTTTAATGGATCTTCTTCCCCCACTAAATCTGGGCCAGAGGAACCCCCAGCTGCCTAGAGCAGATTTTGAGGGAGGGCAGGGAGCCACTGCAGGTGGCAGTTGAGAAAGGGGAAGTTCCGATGTGCACGTGGAAGTTCTCTGTGAAAAAGCCATTGACTTTTTCGTGACGTTTATCAAATTTGTATGATACGTTGTAGTTATATTGCATTAAGACCATGGTGCATCTGCATCAACACAACCGGATGCCTTCATCTGCCCAAGCTACAGCGAAACATGTCTCTCCCTTGCACACGTTTCACCTCCTTTCTACTTTATCCTCACAGCAATCCAGTAAGGTAGATTAGGCTGAGAGGCAGTGACTGGCGTAAGGTCAAGCAGTGAGCGTCATGGCTGAATCCTGGGCTCCCCAGTCCATGTCAAACACTCTGCCCACCACAGCTTTGTATGAAACACCTTACAATAACCTGGTATCTCCTTCAGCTCCCAGTACAAACTGCTTGCCTTAAACTTGTCCTTCTGCCCTTATTCCCATCCCTGCTGGTGTCCTTCCTTCCTCTAGTAATCAGCTACCTGAAAATCTCTTAAAATAACTCTGCCTTGAGGCCCTTTTGCCTGGATCTGCCTTCCCTAATGCTCTGCCCTCAAGTT